ACAAGAGGGCAGGCATTTCTCTTTTGCCAGGGACCTGTAAGTTCAGCTTTTCCTTCAAACTTTGAGCCATTTGGAGGACAAAGGAAGGATTCCCTTTACAGGGCAGCTGCTGCTGCTCGCAGTGGCAGGCTGCTCAGCCCCACGCAGTTCCTCGGAGCTGGGAGCCACACGCTCCCCTTCTCCTCTGCCAGCCCTCACCACGCCCAGAGCTGAGAAAATACACTGGGGAACTGAGCGTGATCGTACAACGGGAGCGAGAAGGCTGTGGAGTTGCTACTGTCCTCTCTCAGGACTCCACCTTTAATATACCCTAATGGGATCTTCCTCCCCTCAAAACTGAGAGGTAATGAAACCCAGGAAGATTTACATTCAGCATTTCCAGAGCAGACTGAATACATTTTAAAATATTCAGGAACAATTCAAATGCAAATATGGCACAGTACTGTATTATTCATATTCTGCAACATTGTGCATTAATCGTCTGACTGGAAGAAGATCTTTTCCAGTTTGTTTTCTTTGAGTTTAATAAACCAGGACTTTGAAAAAACTGCCCACTACACGAGGTGCTATATTTTCTTTAAAAGAAAACAGAGTTATGAAGTCAAAGGCAAATTCAGTGGTTTCTTCTATAAAATACCTTTTCACTTCCTGAACATTGCCTGTAGCTTTGCTAATTTATTGCCATGAAAATATTGTTACTACTTAATGCACTAGTACTTTTGTCAATAGGCAGCTTTCCCCAAGGCATATTTGAGAACGCTCTGCTAATCAGAGTTGATGCAGTTATTCCAAAGCAGCTAGGTCTTTAGAAAAAGGTTGATGTTTAATTCTAGTATGGGTGAATATTGCCATTTTTTCAAAGAACAATATTTTTAATTCACTGAATTAACTTCTGTAGATACCTTAAATGCTGACTACATCATCCAGCCCCAGACTCGGCTTGAACCAGTCTATTTCAAAGCAGTATTGCTGGCATCTTCACCTCTTAACATTTAACTTATGTGAAATATTCCTCATTTTGTAGTGGTGAGGATTAAACAAAGATTTAATCAGAACCACAAATCTGTGCTATATCATCAGCACAGAACTTAAAAAAATGTGGTTGGGTGTTTAAGCAGATACTCACTTGGATCTGACTTCTTACTTTTCTACATCTGCTTGAACTCTTGACATTATGACCTCAAATGCAGCTGAATTTTTAGTGTTTGCTTTCCAAGCACGCTGATAATCGTGAACAGCACAGTGAGTGACAATGAGGTCATGTACACATATATATGTCACACTACAGCTTTATTCTCTCTAATAAATACTGAAAACTACATGAGTATAACTTTACTGAGGCTAAGCAAATCATCTTAATTGGTGTGGGAGCTTTTAATGCATGTATGTTTTCAGTGATTTTTAATGTATTTGCAATTCTCCGCAGATGAAAAATTGAATAAAGTTCCTCAAGAAACAGGTCAGGCCATTTATTTCAATTAGAAGTAGTAATGAAATTCCAGTAAACTATTAAATGTCACTTAATCTATATTCAAGATATATAGAATACTTAATTTCTCTTGGCATGTTCCACATGTACCCTACTTGTCTTTATATTGACAAAATTGGTGCTTCTCTGCTTTAAATTCCCTACCACAGTGACATTTAGTGACATTACTCCTGCTCAAACCCAGCATGGACATAATCCATTTTGCAACAAGCCCACCAATGCAAGTGTCTCCGTACGGAGGTAAAGGCTCCAATTCCTCTGATCCGGCTGGTTCAGGTCAGTGCTACGCTTTCCTTCATTCATCTTCGCTGAAACCCAGGGGGGCTGCTCATTTTGGTTTCCTTCTGCCATCAGACCTATCCCCCAAAATTTCTACATGGCAAAAGAATATTAATACTACTCCTACACTGGGCATAATTACTTTCCTAATCAAGGACAGAATTACAACCATCGAGGAGAATTTTTTAAAAGCAGACAGATGTTTTGAGATGAGACAAATGTTTCACTTGACTCAGAGCAGTACCACAGGTTCTTGTCTGAACGGCATGCGAGCCCATCACCTCCACAAGATGTTTCTTAGATATATGAGACTTCTAAGGCTATCAGCCAGCAAGAGCAGGTGTGAAACTAAAACAGAAGGCTTTCAGTATGAAGGAGCATTACCAACATGGAACAAAAACTGACTTCCGTAGAGTTCTCCTCAGTTACAGTTCTATTCCCTGGTTTATACCTGAAAAATATATAAGATGCAATTTGAGGAGGTGAGACCTTGCTCTAATTCTCCATGGAAATAATCAAGATGGCTTGTGATAATTCTCCATGTCTGAAGTCACCCACACACATGGCTTCAATTCAAAGTGTGAACATCTTTAAGAGATTTATATTAAGCTCTGCTAAGTAGTTGTTAGTCACTTCTTCTGACTGTAATCAAACTAAGTTAAACTAAAAATTACCATGCCAATGGGTATCCCTCCCACTCTGTTATTTCACTCTTCATCTGAAAATACAGCAACAACACTGGAAGGACAGCAAAAGGATGCTTTTAACATCTCCACATCCACATCCAATACTAATTTTTGATCTTTTGCCATGTCTACAGCTCAGGCAGCTAGCAAAAGGTTATAAAGAAGGCAGAGGAGCAGCACTTCCAGTTCCCAGGGACATTTTCAAGTAAAACTCCAAAATTGTCTGAGAAGTACATAACTGAACACATGAAGTATTCTTCAGGAAACAAGTAAAATGCATATACATATATGTATACATACATACATACACAGACACACAAGCATGCTCCTCCATTCATAGATACTACATTCCATTCATAGATATTAAGAGGAAAAGATGATGGCATTCTCCACGTAAGCCATGGAGGGAAGTGGAAGGCCAGTCAGCAGCTCAGCACCACCAAAAATGCAAACAGGTGTCCAATAGGTTGGTGTCTAGTGCCCTGCTCCAGAATATCCACGTGACCATCTGTAGATGGATGTGTGATAAACGTAGAAAAAAAACTTGACACAAACCTCAAACTGATTCTTTAATCCTGTCCACAACAGAGAATACATCCAGTTCCTTTTGACATGCAGAAGTCTGTACACTGCATATTCTATATAAAAAGTATAATACAGGTTGCTTAAACTATAGCCACAATTTTCTAAAGTTTTGTTGGTGCTTTTTAAAAAAAAAAAAAAA